GTAGGGAACCCCCACCCCTCCCTCCCCTGGGGCATCATGTGCCCATCCCCCCCCCCCCTCTGGGGCATCATGTGCCCATCCCCCCCCTCTCTCTGGGGCATCATGTGCCTGTCACCTGGTCTGGCGTGACAAAAGTGAAAGTAAATCGAGGAGGCAGATAGTATCCCAGGGTATGCTGATGGGACAAGTTTCATGGGTAATGGTGTCAGGGAGGGGGGGGGGCAGGGAAGGTCAGGAGGATGAGCATTCCCATTTTGACCCCCTTCTCCCCCCCCCATGATCTAACCCCCCTCCCACACCCCCCAACCCCAAACAGACAAACCGCCAACATCTCCCCCCCCCCTTCCTCACGTTCTCACCAATGATAATTATTCGTCTTAGTCAGCGGATCAGAGAATCGTTCCTATTGGCCAGCGTTGTGATGCCATTTCCAGGGGCAAGCAAGGGGGAGAATAACCCCTCTCGAAATTACTGGTGTATGTATTGATCAGTTGGGAAAGGTGGTGCACGCGGTCTCACTCGACTGCCAGCCGTGAGAGACAACCGATTACCACACTTGATCAATACAAGGACAGAACAAGGACACGGCAAGATCAATACAAGGAGAGCACAAGGACACGGCAAGATCAATACAAGGAGAGCACAAGGACACGGCAAGATCAATACAAGGAGAGCACAAGGACACGGCAAGATCAATACAAGAGCAACGGAAGGACATGGCAAGATCAATACAAGGGCAACGGAAGGACATGGCAAGATCAATACAAGGGCAACGGAAGGACATGGCAAGATCAATTCAAAGACATGGCAAGATCAATACAAGAACAGCACAAGGACACGGCAAAATCAATACAAGAACAACGCAAGAACATAATAAGAACACAAGGACATTACAAGGACAACAGCAGGTACTGGGAGTGAGACTTAGGGTGTGACAGGAGGTAAGAGTTAAAGTGAAGGTCAGGTTAGGTCAGAGAGAGAGAGAGAGGGGGGCGGGAGATGAAGGGGAAGGGGAAGTAAGAGAAAGGGTGAGAAGGTGCCGGAAGGGTATCCCAAGAGTGAGGTCAGGGGAGAGGAGAGTAAAGGTCAGAGAGTGAGGGATTAGCAGTCAAGATTAACCGGTTGCTTGATCTACTAGGCTGTGATTCATACGTCAGGCTGCGAGCAGCCTGGTTGACCAGTCCAGCAACTAGGAGGCTTGCTCGAGGACCGGGCCGCAGGGACGCTAAGTCCCGAAATCATAGCAAGGTAACCGCAAGATGTAATATTTGAAACTGATCTTACGACAGAACTACAGCTTGTGTGGGGTGGTGACAATAACATTATCAATACAATTATTATTACAATAAACACGCAAGGCTACTAATGATTTTGAGTGGAGTCAAAGAACTGTCTCTCACGATAAAATTAGTGGGAGCCATGTGGAGGATTCGAACCTATGCTCTGGGTAGCCCCAATCATACGCCTTGCATAGGTTCGAAGCCTCCTCATGGCTACCACTAATTTTCTCACTGATACATCACGTTAATGTGATTTCTTAGTGCAACTGTCATTCGCATTCAAATATTCAAATGTTAGGATGACACCGGTTCTAAAAATCAGCAATTCCTACCATACTGGCAGACAACATTGTTTTAATAACGTGACGTCTGCTACACCACCAACAAGCCTAGGTCATATACAGTGACGGTTCTGTCAATACAGCCACTGGGGGGAGACGGGGGAAACGGGTGTATAGACAGAACACTCACTGACTGTTAGGAACGTCAGCCCAACGGTAACACAACAGGGTGGTAATAAGAGTCGATAACCCAGCCTCCATCTTAAAGTTGAACGGTTAGATAGCTGAATTATCATCGTCTATCCTAATTACTGCTTTAAAGTGCTGACAATGTGATGACCAGACCACACACTAGAAGGTGAAGGGACGACGACGTTTCGGTCCGTCCTGGACCATTCTCAAGTCGATTGTGTTTCATCATACTTTAGCCCACGTTATTGTGACTCACCGCCTGCTGCTGACAATGTAATATGCTTGCCCAGAAAGCCAGAGATACACAAGTATACTTAGGGCTAGAAACACTGTTCCGTATACAACCTTACACACGGCTTCTACATAAAACTATAATCTTGATTAACCAGAGCCTAAAAAGTGTCTCTAGAATGGAACTCTCATGTAAATTTGAAGAGCAGAAAAAGGGCATACACGAACTTTTTTTTATTATTATTATTTTCTACCACAGACGTGGCCACACATTTACAATGCTAACCAGCATATATACATTTTTCTTCTGTCCTCCATGGACAGGGTTAGAGAAGGTTAAACATATAGTTCTTGAACTATACACGAACTAGCAGACCCATTATCCATCACCATGAAACAGGTCCAACACTAGCATGGGGGTAACAAAACCAGTAGACAAGTTGAAGCTACCAGGGCTCTCAAATGAATAAAACTCAAGTATCACTCGCAGTTCATCATGTATGGGAACTAGATCACAGAGCGCTGGAGACAAAAGAGTATAGGGAGAGTAATCAACATAGTGTGGACGGGTCAAGAGAACATTGAGCAACTAACGAAAAAATGGTTGTAAGGTAAGATTTATGTGGATCCCTTCACATGTGAGAATATTGTCAAATGGGGCTGTTGATGAAAAGGTGAGGAGGGCCACGGGGGAAACTGTCGATGTAATGTGTCTTAACAACCTGTATGGATTTGTGAGCCACCTTTGAGGGACATGTAATAGAGGGTAGAAAACAACCTAAGCTACTCTATCCTTTATTGATATTTTATTATCTATAAACTTACTTGAACTTTACAATCATGCTCTACCTTGCAAAAATCTTGTCCTATACAATCATTGGTCGTTTTAATGATTTTGTCATTAATGTATCTCTAGATAATAAGAATTTTCAAATTCTCGGTCTCACTATCATACAATGTATACATAATACCCCTGGCCATGCCTACGTGGTCTCCCTACCATACAATGTATACATAATATTGCCTGGCCATGGCTACGTGGTCTCCCTACCATACAATGTATACATAATACTGGCTGGCCATGCCTACGTGGTCTCCCTACCATACAATGTATACATAATACCCCTGGCCATGGCTACGTGGTCTCCCTACCATACAATGTATACATAATATTGCCTGGCCATGGCTACGTGGTCTCCCTACCATACAATGTATACATAATACCCCTGGCCATGCCTACGTGGTCTCCCTACCATACCATGTATACATAATACAGCTTCGTCATTTACCCACTATGTACCCGCCAAGCTACGCAGTCTCACTAGCCTAAAGCGTCTGGAGCTCATATTTATAGACTATTTTTATCAGCTGTTTACAGTTCCCAAACGCATGTCTTTGGCACGCTTGACAATATTAATAATTGCAATAATAATAATAATTTTAATGTTGAATAATAAACAATAATAATCGTAAGTTGTGCAATGAGGAACAAGCAACGGTCGAGATTAGGTTTCATCAATGGCAAAGCAAAACTTGGTTCTAAATGTTTCTATTTTAAAATAATTACAATAGATTACAAATTATAACTAGATTAGATTAGCTAAATTATACATTTAGCCCTAACTCCAGGGTCAACCATTACTGTTTTACATAACTGACCAATAGCAACAAATCCACAAGGGCCGTGACGAGGATTCGAACCTGCGTCCGGGAGCATCCCAGACACTGCCTTAATCATTTGTTCATTTGATGTTCATTTGATTTGTTCATTTCATGCATCACGTTAGTGTGATCTGTGTGTAATGACCAATAGCAACCTCATATTTAAATTCAAATTAATTCTCGAAAAAAATACCACCACGGCAGCCAAAGTTACATAAAATACAGTGATCCAAAGTGATCCCATTATTCACTTAAACATTTTGACAATTATGAAAAGATGATGATGATCCAGCAGTCTCCGTGGCGCAGTGGTAAGATACTCGCCCCGAGCTGCACCAGTGAGTTTGCCTGGGTTCGTATCCTGGCCGGGAAAAGTTAACTACGGCGCTAATCCCTAACTATACGCCTCTGTTCATCCAGCAGCGAATGGGTACCTGCGGCCAGATTCACATAACAGTTACGCAAGCACTTACGAATCTGTAACATCTTTTCTCAATCTTTGGCGGCTTTGTTTACAATTAAGGAACAGTTAATGAGCTCCGAAGGACCAGGAGGTTGTTTATAACAATAGCAACAGTTGTTTGGGAAATTTTCATGCTTGTAACTGTTTAATAAATGTAACCAAAGGCGTCAAAAATTTAAGAAAGATGTACACGTTCTAAGTACTTGCGTAACTGCTTCGTGAATCTGGCCCCCTCCCTGGTAGATAAACGATTTGGCGGGTCGAAAACTAAGATTAAGGACCTGCCCGAAACGCTATGCATGCTAGTGGCTGTACAAGAATGTATGAACTCTTGTATGATGATGATAAAATCAAGTATACTTTGTGATACTGTAATTAGTTGTGTATAAAGTAATTAATAGAGTCAGACTTTAATTCTAGTGCCCGGGTTCGATTCCCGGCTGAGGCAGAAACAAATGGGCAAAGTTTCTTTCACCTGATACTTCTGTTCATATAGCAGTAAATAGGTAAATAAATAAATAGGTACCTGGAAGCCAGACAGCTGTTTCGGGCTGCTTCCTGGAGATGTGTGTTATAGAGAAATATATGTAATAGACATAATAGAGGAAAAACTATTTCGGCAAGAAAGGCGGGGACCAAGAGCTTATAGCTCGATTCTGCAGACACTAGCAAGGGCCTCCATGCCCCTAGGCGTCTCAAGAGGCCCTGGCTGACCAGGTTCAAATCCTTCAGGAGTCAAGAGTATTGATATATATACAGTATATATATATAGTAACTGTCCCCCACGCTAGGCCTCCCTACCATGTCAACAATGATATAGTGGATATATGAATTGTGGCAAACTAAAATAGGTAGTGGTGGTAGTGGTACTTTACTAAGCCTAATACTTACTGTTTGTGTGATACTTTGACCACAACATCTACTGGAGACTTGGGTTTGTTAAGGTCAGTGGGGTCGAGAGGTGACCCCTCTCCACCCGCCCCCTCGTCCCCCTCACCAACTGCCGCCGTCACTACCATGTGGCCCACAACCGACAATTATTTCTTTATAATTACAACTTTGTTATTATCGAATGAACCATATATCACAGCTAACGATAATATATTACTTCTCAGAGTTAAAATAGTATTAAACAGCCTATTTCCGATCACTGGCAAAGAGCCCTTATTTTTTTCCCAAAGAATAATAGGCTTAATAGGGCCTAAATAGAGTAAGTGTCGCAGACAGTTTAATAAGAACTTATGGTGTCCGGGAGCACTCTCACAGCCCTCGCTGCCCGACTCTCATGCGGTGACTGGCTGACTAGCAGACTCCCCTTTAAGAATAGGATTCACGTCGATATTAGAAACGGGAGCTGGGGGCGGGTGGCCGTCCTGCGCCGGTGCCGGAATTATGGGGAAAGGCTACACGCCCGGAGACACCCCACCCCAGGGTACTATGTGATGCAACACATGCTTCATTTCAACCCATTGTAGACACTATTTGTGTCTGCAGAATCCACCTATTAGCTCTTGGACCCTGGCTTTCTAACCGTCTATTTTCCTCTATTATATCTATTACATTTATTTCTCTCCAACACACATGCACATATACATCCCCGGGAAGCAGCCCGTAGAAGTTGTCTAACTCCTAGGTACCTATTTACTGCTAGGTGAACAGGGGCATGAGGATGATAGAAACTCTGCCCATTTGTTTCCGCCTAAGCCGGGAATTGAACCCGGGCCCTTAGGACTACGACCCCCGAGTGCTGTCCACTCAGCCGCGAGGGGCCCTATGCAGACACTATACATGTGTGTATGTGTATACATACACATTATATATATATATATATATATATATATATATATATATATATATATATATATTAGTATATTTTGGTAGCAGTCTTTCTTGTAAACATATGCTGTTAAATATGACAGAAAAAGTAAGATTAATAATTCTAACACGAATTTTCTCAATATTTCTTATTACATTTTCAAAGACTTTAGTTTACACACACAACTGTAACCTGAAAACATTAAACAGAGTCAGCAAATCCGTCATACTTGTACTTGCATTTGGGTGAGGTGATATGGTGCAACAGTTTTGGATGAGGTGAACAAACTTGTGACAAATACAAGACAGAACACGAAACTGTGGGTTTCTGTCTTGGATATGAGATATGAGTCTTGGATAATTTAATATGTCTTGGATAATTGTATATGAGAGCATAAGAATGAAAGTACAGTAACTGCAGAGGGCCTATTGGCCCATACTTCCTTTTGCTGCTTCTATATTGGTTCAGAGTCTTGAAGTGGGTAGAATATAGTTGTGCATTAATTGGCTGTTGATTGCTGGTGTTGACTTTTTGATGTGTAGATGTCGCAGATGTCGAGCCGCCTGCTCGACAGTACTATATATACAGTACTGTGTATATATAGTACCTATATATCTATATATACTGTATAAGCCTAAATCTTATAATTGCACATAGTACACATTTTGCTTATGAAAATATAAATGGTAATCGCTCATTTGCCATTTTTAAAAGTTCAATGGCTCCTAGTATGGCTGCCATGTGCATTGAGACACTGGATGGTGATGTGCCACACGTGGTCCTTATCTTTTTACTAAGGCCCTGAAAGGAAAGTGAGGGAATCTGGATTTTTTTTCAATATGGGAATGGTTACTGGAGACCTGAGAATGCTGATGCGAGCCCTGTGTACCTATTGGAGTTTCTAATCTTACATAGTATGTTAAATCATCCCTAGATGACTGGCAAAGGTTGGTAAGATATGCCGCTGTCATTCCTGGATGATTCACACAGCGGAAGGGTTAAGGAGGCATCATAAGTGAAGTAGAATGAGCCAGTAATTAAATGGTCCTTTAGGGCTGAAATGACAAGTTCTCTAGTATCGCCCTTCCTCTTTTCATGGAATGGTGAGGGCAGGTAAGAATATATCCCACTGCTTTGCATGTGTGAAGGTCATACTTATCAGACTGGAATTTAGTTCAGAAATAAGCTAAGCAACTTTTCTTAATATTGGATTAGTAACTTACCTATATGCTGGAACAGGCCGTGAGATGAGCGGAACCTCATCCTCAATTACATCATGCAGTACCTTATCAGGGTCTTCAGCATCTACCACATAGCTGTAATAAAAACATTATAAGTTCAGTTAAATATTCACACAAATATGTGTGTGCACCTAACATACATATACTTGTGCACCTAACATACTTACAGTACATAGTAATCACTGAATGACAGCAAAAATAAAAACACACAATTGAGAGGTGCCTGCCTTATTTAGGCAAGTAAGAAAGTAGGAAAGAGGACAAGATTCCCTAAAGACCAGGACTAGAAACCTGGAGATGCAGGAAAAATACACAAAAGCTCCCCCTGCAGACAGCATGGAACAAGACCCTTACAGCAGGATTGCTCTGATGCTGGCCACCAGCCAAGAAAGCAGCCCAGACCCCATAAACAAAGTAAAATACAAAGCTACTGCACATGCAATGTGAGTGGTATAAAAATACAAGCTTAAAAAATAAAGTAAACATGAATGAATGAAGAGGTAGACCAGCTGGAGCCCTGCGTGACTTGAGTTGCAACCTAGTGGCAGTCAAGCACATCATATTTTGGGTGTTTACCCTCTGGTAATGATCATTTGTTTTACTACCCCTGGCTGCCTAGTGTTCTTCAAGTAATTGCTTATTTTGTTGCTTTCTGCTGATTTTCTCAGCTTTGGGTTGACCTCTGGTCCCCAAACACCACCCTCACTTCATAGAAAGAGCCAGACTCTGGACCTGGCTCTGGCAAGTATGGCAAATCGGTGCTTATCTCAGAGAACTAAATCTAAAATATGGCATATTATGTAATACAATATACTGTACAGCATAGCTTTAATGTATAGAACCAAGTTTCATAACCAAACACATAAGGAAGGACAATTCTCTTACTGTTGGAAGCCAGCAAACATTGCCTTAAGAGCAGTAGTCATATATTTTTCTCAAATATATTCCATCAATACAGTAAATATATGATAAGCCGCATGTAATTTGTATATTTTTTTATAAATTTTGCATCACCAATCCAAACCATCACCAAGTACTGTATATCTAAACACAATACAGTATACAGTAGCCTGCTTTATTCTTAAATGTTTTAATTGCCTTACTAAGATGCTGTTCACAGTCCAATAATCAGTCTGTTGTGGCATAATTGTCATCACCAATGCTGTAACCTTCGATATACAGTGCAGAAATTCATAATTCAAATCAAATGCTCCCAAATGCCCCCAAATCAAATGCTCCCCAACTATGGTTTCCTATAGTTGGGGATAGTAAGCCTGTTAGGCTTAAGATCCCTTTAGGCCATCTACTAAGTTCCCCAGGATGCAGTCCACAAATTTTCTCTAACTCCTGGGTAACTATTTATGGCTAAGTGAATAGATGTATCAGACGAAAGAAAACTTTAGTCCTGTTGAGGGAGCTTAACCCAGAACCTCTTGAGCGAGACCCAACTGTGATTACCACAGTGCCACAGAAAGTGTTGCCTATATTCCTAAACAGCAAGTTTACAAAAAATCATGTGGCCACATACCATCTCTGAATGGTTGTATGGGGTAGAAAATTACTGTTTCTCTGAAACTGCATTCACTTTAGCGTTCAAGTGAACATTCAAAAACATTTAAATTATATACTGTATTTTAGTTACAGCTATAGTTAATTTAATGGTGAACTTACTAGGCTGTTTTGTAATTGCAACATTGTGATGTCAATAAAGATCAACACTCATACATTCTAAACAAAATTATCCCTTGGGTCTCAGTTATACAATGCTGCACTTCAGAATATAAATAAATAAAAAATAATTTTTATGGAATATGTAATCAACATTACATTATCCAATAGCAAGTAGTGTACTGTATCTGGCACCTGATTATTTTTAACATAAAAGCTGAAAAGGACCTCAACTGAACAAACTCACCTTATGGAATTATCCAGGTTGGGCATATGTGGGCCTTCAGGTTCCTCCCCTATCAGTAAGGGTGCATCATCTTCCATAATGCAGCTTTTTTCTGTAATATAAAATATGAAATGTAGGAATGCATTTGCCTGACAGCTACCATCTCTCTACTGGCCTCGGCAAGGACAGAGACAGGAAGCTTGCAGCTTTTTGTCACCTAATCATATATTTATCTACCTGAATCATGTGAACATACATGATAAAATAAAAAATATACATTAAATACTTAACATTTAGCCTATTGAAAAAGATCGAGAAGCAATACATGAACCTTGATTAATCATTTAGAGGTTAAATGAGATAACTTAAGCTAGGTTAATTGTGACAGGCTAGTTTAGCTTCAGTTAATTAAGAAAGGTTAGGGATGGTTAATTAGGATAGGTAATGTGAGGTTAATTGAGATAGGTTAGGTTAGGGTAATTTAAATAGGTTACGTTAATTGATATAGGTTAATACAATCGGGTTTGTTCTGGACTCAGTCGGGAACTCCGGGATCAAAACCTGGGCTGGATAGAAATGGTTGGGCACGTTTCCAAACATCTAATGGCTCGGTTCACTGGTACAGTATATAGGTACCCAGCTTGTTTTGGAGTTGCATCATGGGGAGTCAGTAATGTGTATGAATATGAGTAAGTAACGTGTATGAATACACTCTGGCTTCCTGTCTACTGACACAATGAATTAAAATTAAATAATTATAACCCACCTTAACCTATCATAATTATAATAATAATTCATTGTGTCGGGGAACAATATATATATATATATATATATATATATATATATATATATATATATATATATATATATATATATATATATATATATATATATATATATATATATATATATATATATATACAATATATATATATATATATATATATATATATATATATATATATATATATACAATATATATATATATATATATATTAAGGCACAACTCTCCTAAACACGAGAGTTAAGTATACAACTTTAGAACACTTTCCCACCAGGAGACTCGAACCCTAGCCAGCACAGAAGCCTTCCAGCAACTGGCATAACAGGTATGCCTTAACCCTCTGCACCACCGTGTTTAGGAGAGTTGTGCCTTAAGCAGAGACACTGTGTCTTCCCATATTAACAGGGACTTGATGAAATTAACGTCTAAATGACCCCTCACTTGCTCTGGTGCTCTTGGGAGGTGTTGATCTTTGGGGGATTTA